CTATCGCTTCCTTACGTTTAATTATCTAATGTGTAACTAAGGCAATATGCATTTTATTCTAAATCTTAAAATAATTAACTTTTACATCAATTGATTGTGAACGATTTGTTTCATCAAGTGAACCAGTTGTTTTACTTATTCTATTTTCCTATATAAAATAAAAATTATTATAAAATTTAAAAAAAAAAAAAGTTTTAATAAACATTTTTTCTTGCTATTGATAATTGTGGTCGATTTGGTAACATTGATGTTTGTTTATCAATATTATTAAATTTTTCTTGAGAATCTAAATTCTTGATTTGGTTATTATGATTTCGTGATAAATTATCTAGACAAAAATAATATTCTTTCATAAACATTTATCATTCTTGTTTTTTTTTTTTTATTAAAATACCTTCTTCTTCAATATTAATTGATGTTGATTTTGTAGTATGATGAAGTTCATTAGAAAGATTATGAGATGAATCTATCAAAATTAAACTTGTTTTTTTTTTTAATGTATAAATAAACTAACAGTCATTAGTTGATTTTCTTTTTGCTAATGTTTTAGAAGGATGTTTAGCTCCAATTTCAGATGTATTTGGTCGATGTTTTAAATCCTATTAAAGAAATTTTATTATTCTTTTTTTTTTGTTTTAATGATTAAAATAACAAACCGTGAATTCAGAAATTTCTTCAACATAATTATCTATTATAAATTAATATAGTTATTTATTATCAGAGAAAATATTAAAATCTTACCAGGAAAAACTCCAATTTGTCCATTTAATTCACCCTTAAGAAAAAAGAAAAGAAGTTAAAACAATGACAGATCTAGGATTTTGAAAGGTAGGCAGATGGAGTCGATCATAAGTAAAAAATTACTTTTTCAAGCTTATTCAAGATAGTATAGACTCGCTCTTTTGTATTGCATTGTCATTGACTATTGTTGAATTCTAAGTATGTATAATAAGTTCATGGTTTATTTCGAACTATACCGATTCTGTTCAGTTTTTCTACTTATACAAAATGATTTTTTTAATAGCAAGGTAATTATGTAGTATCACAGAGGAAATTTATATGGTTTCAAAAAAACAAAATGTAAACTTATTCTATATACTTAGAACTCGAAAATAGTCAATTACAATGCAGTACATTATTTTTCGTTCGTTCTTGGTAGAAAAAATGTTTGAAGGAAAGAGCAAACCAACCCATTGTCTGTCCTTCTTAAATCCACTACTGAAGAGAAAAGTCTTCCAACTAATCAATCGCTTTTGGACTCGAGATTATCTGCTTTATGCAGATCTTATTAAACTATGGATACTCTGGAAAATATTCGAGCTCTTAGCTTATTGTCAATGAGATATTGTATTTTTACGTCTATGCCTTGGTTCCTCTGAGAAACACCAGGAAAACTTAATTTCGCATTGAAACTTTACATAGAAACAAGTCTTAAAGAGAATAGTTTATTGTGAAAGTTTCAGCTCTGTTAATTTGCTTCTTGAAATAAGAATATCGAATCTGTTGATATATATGAGCAATGTAACATACCATAAGCTGTATGTTATGAATACGAACTCTTCCCCTTTTCGGATGTTCAAAATCAAAAAATTTTTTTGAGTTTTAGTTTTTGCATTGGAAATGCTATATATAAATGAAGAGTTTTTATTGTCAATTAATACTTTTATTAAACCTAACTCTCGAAATCGATTTTTACACACAAAAAAAAAGATGCAGAATCGTCCCTATTTTTCCGACATAGTACGTTCGATCGAGCTAAGACGTTTTTTTTGCAGGTACTGAACACTGTTTAGGGATGCCTACTTTTCTGTTAATTTTTAGGAAGGTTGACAAAAAAAAGAAAAGTATGTATTATTGGAAGTACGCTCAGTATTTTGATCTTTTGATTCGAATGAAAGGAGATAAAAAAAGAAACTGAGGATGATTTTCAATCTTTGCAACCCAAATATTTCCTAGAAGAATGTATTTGGAAATTTGAAGTCTGTAACAACTTTTGCTCTACTCATCAAGAGCTATCTAAGTTGAAAGTTTCAAATATGTTTGATAAGCCATTCTTTTAGAAACTTCGGAATGGAGAAGTCCACTTAATGCCTATCTCTACGCAAATTTTCAAGCGGAATTTCGAAAATGAGTTTTCCTGGTATTTCCGAGGAGAACTAGAAAATTGACTTAAAAACTACCAAAAATCTGTAGTATCTCTGCACCATTAAGCTACGAATTGAAACTTGTTTCAGGATATTTATAGTTCATTGGTGTCTACATGATATACCATAGTTCCGTCTCAAAAGCGATTCATCAGTGGGACGACTTTTCTCATAAGTTAAAAAAAACAAAGTATCCTTTTCGTATTCAAAACTACCTTCCACCATCCTTCATCATCAAGATTTTTATCAAGTATAGTAACAATATCATTAGTCGTTAATGTTAATTCATCTTTAGCTTCTGCCTTATAATCATATAAAACACGAGCTTTTATTAAAGATGTTTTCTTTGATACATCATCTGTAACAGATGTACTATGACCATTAATAGATTTCTGTTTAATTGCTTGATTTATTCTAGTTTTATTTTCATTAATACGTATAACATAATTCGATGGAAATAAACCACGTTTACCATCAAGTATACCTTCATACCAACCTTTTTCAATCTAAAAATAAAATTATTAATGAATAATTTAATATAAAAAAAAAAAGAAAGTGAAACAAACTAATCGAGTAACATTAATAATATCATTTGGTTTAATAGATAATTCATCATCATGAATTGGTAGATATGTATAAACAGCTCGTACTTGAAATGATGTACTATTTTGAGAAGCTAGAAGAATATAAATAATATTTAATAAAGAATAAATATAAAAATAAAACTAACGAATTTGATTATTTATAAATGATCGTTTTCGTATAATTTCATCTTTATTTCCAGTTGATATTGGTATAAATGTTCGATTTTTCGTTTGCTCTTTGTTTATTAACTTTATAAAGTAAAATTCTTTTTAATACGAAAAAAACAAAAAAACTACAATAAATTCTTCTTACTGTAACATAATTATCTGGGAAAAAACTAACGAATACAATATAATATAAACGAAAAAAAACCAAATTCAATTTAAAGATTTCAACTTACCCAATCTTTCCTTGACATTCTCCTTTTAACCATCCATCTTCTGATGATAAAACATCAGTTATTATATCTCCTTTTCGTATTGTTAATTCATCCGATGATTTTGCTATATAATCATAATTAACAATATAAGTTCCCACTAATACAAAAGAAAAAAAAAACCAAAATTTTCAATATTTTACTTAGTTCGAATATATATAAACTCTCACTATTCTTTTAATTCATTTGAAATGAAATCTAAAACATAAAAAAAAACAATAAAGCAATCAACTATATCATATATCTTAAAAAATAGAAGATGTCAAATATCACACCAACGAATGAATACATACTATTCTGTTACTAGAGCGAACACAAGAAAGTAATAAGAGACATCAGAAGAATAGAAGAATTTATTCTCATTTTTTTTTTCTTAGACAAACGAGTTTTTTTGACTCCTAGAATGAAACTTGATAGAATGGTCAGAGATTAGAACAATTCATATCTATTCTTTCATAGAGATCGCTAGATGTCGATGATTGAACGATCTAGCTAATTTTTCAGAGAACTATTCGATTGCTTATGATAATCAATAGATTCATAACATGGATGATGAAATTACACACATACGAAAGTAAGATATTCTTCTCTATGAATCAAATTTTCATTCAGAATGAGTAGATTTTTTTTTTTTGTTAGTTTTAGTAAGACTTTTATCTTATGATTTTTTAATATTTACCTTCGATAAGCGATACATAAATGTATTTACTATGGAGAAAAGTGAAAAAAAAAATGGATGCATATCTTTATTATATACTTCGAAACTAAGTTAATCACATAGGTGAAGTATAATAAATAAATAAGCACAACTAGACGAGCTATTTTTTCAAATTCTCATTCTAAATAGAGAAGATCTGATATGCTCAAGTGTCATTGAGTTGTATTTTAATAGATGATCCGAAAATTTTGAAATAAAATATTCCTTCATTTTTCGATAGATAAAAAAGTAGATTAGAATTAGAAACATAGGCTCTTTCTAAATCAAGGTTTAAAATTTTTTATGTAAACTCATAGATTGAGAGTTACGAGCGAGTTTCTAAAAATAAAGTTTGGACGAGTTTTAGTAAGTAAAAACTCGTCTAGGATAGAAGTAAAATTTATTACGAATATACCAAAAGAAGGAGCAAACGTTTCGCTAAAAAAAACAATGATATCTTGACAGTTAGTTTTCTATAGGGCATCTACTATGTGCACTAAGTCATTTTCTCTTCTTCTCTTTTTTATCGCTAGACTTCTTTTACTTTTTAACCTTCTTTATATATGAAGAAAGCCCGAAACGTGTTATATTTTATCGTATAGTTACGTTGAACAAAAGATGCAGTTTGAAATGCGAAAAGTATTCCTTTTTAATTACAATTTACACCTACTTCTATTCTTCATATCATAACAAAAGAAGAGTGAATATTTTTGGAATAACTTCTCATAGGAACAAACTAGAGACTTATGGTTTTCACCATTCGAAAGATTCGATATAGATTTATCTCCTCGTTCGAATGATGAAAATCGTAAATCTCTATTATGTTTCTATCAGAAGTTATTTCAAAAATACTTACTCTTCTTTTATTATGACATGAATAATAGATGTGAATGAAAATCATACGAAAAAAAAAATGAAATTTTTTTCTTCCAATACACTTTTCATACTGCAAGTTGCATTTGTTGTTTAATGCAAATACACCATAAAATGCAGTGCATTCCGAGCTTTCATTCTATATAAAGAAGGTTAAAAAGCAAAAGAAGTCTAGGGATAAAAACGTAAAAAAGAATAGGTTTGAGACCAAAATTTTTTTCAATTTTTATTCGAATTTGAGCTTGTGTTCGAGTTTAAACAAATAGTTTGAAATTTGTTAATAGTTCTTTTGAATGAAACTAAACTATCTCAAACACTTTCATCTCTACAAATAGAACAAAATTGTTGTATTTTATCTTACCAAAGCCTAAGGCTTTGGGTTTATTGCATTCCTAAATCTACGAAAAAAAAAACTTTTTTTTTTGCAAACTATTCTGATGTGTCGATGTCCTACAACAACATCAATGTGTCGTTTCGAGAATATGGACAAGTATTCGACATCACTTTTGTTTTATGAACGTACTGTGAACATTGGCAAACATCAATCATTTTAAACTTATCACATAATGATAAAACAATTAATACGTGTTGATTAGACATATATTTCATAGAAGACCTTCATAGTTAAAGGTGCAAAAGAAATTAAGTTTTGTTTTGAAGAATTAAACTATTCTTTCTGTTCTAATGTTAAAATAGTTCATAACATTGATAAATAAACAAAAAAAGATATGAAGAAGATCTTATCAAAAAAATGAATGATTCTTATGTATATTGAATTCTGAGGAAGAAATATATTAAAATAACATGCAAAAAAATAATTCTGTTGATCGATAAGAAGATGAATTCAATGTATCATAATCAATCACGAATTTCAAGGCTAAATCAAAAGTATGTTGGTACAAATCGACTATGATATCAATATTATAGGTAACAAGATAAAAAATACCTAGGTCAGTCCAAAAGTAGTGG